CTCTCTCTCTCTCTCTCTCTCTCTCTCTCTCTCCCTCTCTCTCTCTCTCTCTCTCTCTCTCTCTCTCTCTTTCTTTTTTTTTTCTCTCTCTCTCTTTTTTTTTCTCTCTCTCTCTCTCTCTCTCTCTCTCTCTCTCTCTCTCTCTCTCTCTCTCTCTCTCTCTCTCTCTCTCTCTCTCTCTCTCTCTCTCTCTCTCTCTCTCTCTCCCTCCAGCGCCCCCGTGGAAGCACGTCGCGACGTCTTCTCGAGCATTGCTGGTGGAATAGCCACGAGCTGAAAAGTCTCGCCGAAGTCATGCGCGCACGCGACAAAGGCAGCCACGTTCTGGTCTACCCTGGTCCAAAACAGACGCACGGCCGAGATGGGCCCTCCGACCCGCCTCCCCCTCGGGCCGTCGCAAGAGAGCGCTAGGCCCCAGCCCGGTCGCAACTGGCCCCAGGGGCGCGGGCGAGCGCCGGCGCGCCGGGCAAGCGCGCCCGACGATGGGAGCAACCGCTCCACGCCAAACAGAGCGGCGCCGCAAGTCTCGGTGGCGGAGAGGGACACGCCGCGGGCGCCCAGGCGCGTGACTCTGCCAGACTGCTCCCTAATTACGAAGGGCTCCAAATCAAAAGCCCCCTGGACTTCCGCCCTGCGGAGGAACTCTGGGGGCCCTCCAGCGACCCATAATTTTCTGATATTTTTGCCGAGGGCGCATTGCGCGCGCACCGCCCCGCGCGCGGTTTCCTTCGGACGCTCGCCCCCGGCCCGACGCCGAGAGCCCGAGCGAGCGGCGCCCCCGGGCTCGGCGGCTCCATCGTCGGCGCCGAGATTGCCCGCGCCATCCAGAGTCGGGCCCGCCAAAGGCCTCGTCAAACCTCTCGGCTGCCTAGCGACCTCCGCGCAACTGCAGGCCAGGGCAGCGTCGCCCTCGGACGTCGCAGCAGCGCTCGCCAACGATGGCTTCGAAAAGACGCCGGCTGCCAGACTTCAAACCACTGGCCGCCTGCGAGAGCACGCCGGCAGCTGAAGCGCCGCTGTCATCGACGCGCTGGTCGAGCTGCGCCCCCCGCCGAACTTGACGCAACGGGGCGCGCCTACCGCGCGTGCCTTGACGAACGACGCGGCGAAATAACAACAACTCCTGACTCCACCCTGAACCCCCGCCCCCAAGCCGCGTCGCCGGCAGGGGCGAAGATGGCCCGGCATAGAAAAAACATCGCGGGGGGTCGGCCCCCCACTGCAAGGCGCGACATCATCGGCGCCGACCCCTCAGACGGCACAGGCTGACCCGATGGGCCCCCAGGCGCCTCGCGGTTTCATCGGCAAGGCCAGCTCCGCCGCCTGGGCGCGGCCGGGGAGGGCAGGCAAATTGCCCATGGGCCCTACGATCAGACAGACAGCATGAAAACAATCATCGCTCATCCAGATCTAGTGCCTCGAAAAGAAATCCACCTAGCCCGAGCGCGATCCCGCCGGGGCCCTTCCGACGGGGAACTCGCGCGAAACCAACGGGGGGCAAGGGCGTCGGCACTGCGGCGCCCCCGCAGTCTCCATGCGCAGGCCGTCTACAAGACCCCCAGGTCTCCGGAACAGCAATGGCTTGACTTTCAAACGCCGCGGCCCCCAAACTGCAGAGGGCGGCCAATGATTTCCAGCCCGCGGCGGGCTGGCCAAACGAAAATTCACCCCGCCGCCCCCCCCCCCCCCCTGCTCGATGCTTTCTAACAGCCAATTCTCGAAACAGTTGTTCGCTGGGTCTTGCGCGAACTGGAGCAGCGCTAATAGAAGCATCTGGCCGACTGAGAAGATCCCGCGGCTGCGCGTCGCGCGGCGGGGGGGGGGGGGCGGGGCGCGTCGGCCGCCGCGCCGGGGGCCTGAGACAAGAAACCCATGGGAATTTCCGCGCCGCCAGTCTCCCCCACAACCTTGACCATATCTGAACGCCAGGCTGAGGAGAGCGCGGGGGGGGGGGGGGGGGGCGCATCATCATTCTGACCAGCGCAATCCGCGCCGCCAAAGTCTCCGAAAAGGGTCGGCGAACGCATCGCGCTGCCAGCAGACACTGGCTCGCCATCGCCGGCGGCCGAGATGGCCGTGCACAGGGGGTCTCGATCCCGACTGCCCAATTGCTCGACGCTGCCATCCCTCCCCCCCCCCCTCGATTTGACCCTCGCCCTCCGTCGCCGCCGAGACGACGTCCTCGATGCCAAGGGCCAACCGCCCGACCGCGGCGAGGTTCTTGCTAGGCGCTGGGGGCGCCCCTCAGCAGCTCGGACTTCTTCGCGGACTCAATGGCGCCAGGGAAGCTGAGTGGCCGCGCGCGGAAGGCGCGACTGGGCCACTTGAAAGCAAGGGGCGCGCGCGCTCGGCCCCATTCCCCTTCGAGGCGCCCCCCCGTCGAGGGGCTCGGGGCGCGCCCGAAATTAAGAGTGACTTGCGCGCGCAAAATGCGCGACCTCACTTTCCGCGGGCCTCGGCCAGCGCCGCGGCGTCCGCGCCCCGGATCGGGGGCCCCAGGCCCCAAGCCCCGCCCCCAAACGGACGGGGGGGAGTGGGCGAGCCCGGCGGGGCGGCCCGGGGGGGGGCCAGCGGCGGCGCGGCGAAAGCCAGCGCTTGCGCGCTGCAGGCCATGGGGAACAAGACGAGATTGACGGAGGAAGCGGGGGCTAAGGTTTCAGTTTTGAGCGACCTCGAACCCCGTCGATCACCTCGCAAGCCCTCGACGACACCACAAAGAAGTTCTGCAGCTCCAACCCGCCAATGGCGCCGGGCTGTCGCGCCCGGGCAGATTGCGCGCCCCGAGGACTTCCTTGGAAAACCACTCTCGATGATAACATCTGGGCTCGCCGCGACCCCCGCTGCGATCGCGGGCCCCGACCGGCACGAGGAGGGCGCGGCCCCAACCGCGCAGCGTATATCCACGCACCCAGCGGCGAGCCCAGCCAAGGGGCGCACGCGCAAAGACGCTGCAGGAACAAACTGCGAGCCGCCGGGCAGGCGCGCCAACCCCCCAATGGCCCTGCGCGGAATAATATCAGGACCGCTCGCAACTCGCGGGGCCCGAGAAGCGAACAGCACATGATCGCGACCCCTCCAGGGCCGCCTTCGCCATGCCCCTGCGCCGCAGGAGAGACAGGGCCGTCCCGGCCACTGCGCAAGCGCCACGGCGACGCGCCACGACTGCTCCTGGACCGCAATAGCGCGACCTTGGGCCTTAGAGGGCCACATTTTACCTGGCCCCCAAGGGCGCGGCGCTGCAGGGCTGGAAACATAAATCAAAATCGCCCTCGCGCGGCGCCGCAGGGGGCCCGAGCGGAAACATAATGGCTGGTCTCGTCAGAACCCACAGGGCGTGACAGAGCTGGGCCCAGGGTCAGAGACTCGGGCCCTGGAAGGGACCTCGCAGCGGCGGCGGGTGCCCAGGTGCGGACTAGCAGCGCTGGGGCCCTTCAGCAATTTGTTGGCACATTGTACTTCCCCCTGCCCATGCTGCCCACATGCAGGCGGGGGCCTCGCAAATCTTGGCGCACCTAGCCTGGGCCCCAGCGGCGGACTCATAATCGCCAGGCTCACCGCCGCCAGCGATGCCCGCCCCGCAGCTAGCGCTCCCAGTCGCCTCCTGACCTGGAGGAGTGACAGGGGGTGGCGCTGCCGGTGCTGGCGCCGCTGGTGCAGCTCCAGATCCTTCGGCGGCTCCTGGGGCCGACGGTGCACCAGCTGCCGTTGCTGGGGCGGTCTCGGTGCGCGCCCGCCTGTTGCGCAACATGGCCAGCTGCGCCGTCTGCTCAGCTCTGATCTCAGCAACGCGCTTTTGAATCTCCCCGCAGGAAAGCACTATCCCGTGCTTGAGGGCAACTCGAAATCGTCGACCTCCTCTGTGGCCAGCAGCCCGTCGATGCTGATGGGATGTCCGCGACGTCCCCAGACAATACATCAGAAACATCAAACATGGCAGTTGGCGTGGGCTCGTCCGCATATACCGACCTGTGAGAACTGCTTGGCCAGACTAAGATGCAACGCCTCAGCCTTCGCCAGCTCCTGGCTGACCACGCATTTTGTGCACGCTGGCTTTTCAAGTCCAACAGCAACTATCCAAATGCCGCACAACACTTGTTAGCACGTTGCTGCCAAATCCGAAGATCATTGAATTCACGGTTGGCTCGTTGCTGAGGCAGGGCCAAGATCATCTGTTCGGACCGCCGCGCACCGTCATCGTCGCCGTGCTTGCCCAGTGTCTGGACGAGCGACTCCAGCTCCTTGATCGCCCTCCCGACAAGACCGCCAGTATGATAACCGTATAAAACCTTGAGACTGAAGACCACTCCTTTACCACCTCCCTTGCCAGCAACTCTCGCACTTTTGCCTCCACTGTAATGTATCTATCGACCAAGTGCCCTATGAGCTCGACCACTCGTGAGAATGGTCGGACCGCGAGGCTTGCAGCGCTTGCAATGCCACCAGGCTGCCTTGTTCTTGCGGCAGCCGCGTGTGGTGCACGTCAAGCGGCCTCCTCGACCCACCTGGCACCAAGGAGGATCCCAGTCACCAGACACATCGCCAAGAGCAAGCACCATGGCCGCGCCGTCCTTGAATGTAAAATCATTCTAGATGCCACCGCTCATTGCACGAACTTGCCATCAGTACTGGGACACCCAGGCCTGGGGTGAAACACCTCTCGAGCCATAATGAGCTTGAACCAAGCGGCGACGGACGGAGGACGAGGAGGAGGGGGGATGAGGAGGAGGAGGAGGAGGAAGAGGAGGAGGAGGAGGAGGAGGAGGAGAAGAAGGATGAGGAGGAGGAGGAGGAGAAGGAGGAGAAAGAGGAGGAAGAAGAGGAGGAGAACAGGGAGGGGGACGAGGAGGAGGAAGAGGAGGAGGAGGAGGCGAGAGGGCACGGAGATGAGGACCGAGGGGGGACGAGAGCGAGGCAACAAAAGGATGTCACACGGCGGATGCGGACGACGGCGCACAAAAGCGACAGACTCCGCACCGCCCCGGGGCTTCGAGCCGGGGGACCATCATGGCGTCCGGGGCGTCGTCGCCGTTGAAGACTCGGTCCCCGAATCTGAGGTGCACCGCCACGTACTGCCTTCTGCGAGCCAGGGCGCGGCGTGAACAGCGGCCGCGGGCCCTTCCTTCCTCCAACTCGTCCCCCCTGCCTCCCTGCTCCTCCTCTCCCTTTCCCTCCTCTTCCCCCTCCTCCTCCTCCTCCTTCGCCTCCTCCTCCTCTTCACCTCCTCCTCCCTCCTCCTCCGCTTCTTCCTCCTCCTCCTCCTCCTCCTCCTCCTCCTCTTCAACCTCCTCCTCCTCCTCCTCCTCCTCCTTCTCCTCCTTCTCTCCTGTCTCCTCCCTTACTCCTCCTCACTCTTCCTCCCTCCTTGCCTCTCTCCCTCCCTCCCTTCCTCTCCCCTCCTCCTCCTCTTCCGTCTCCTCCTCCTCTTCCTCCTCCTCCTTTTTATTTCCTCATCCTCGCCATCAGGTTCCTGCGTCCCTTGTCTTTCTCCCCATCGTCATCTCCCTCCTGCACGGCGGCGCCAGTGCATGTGTGGGAAAATTTGACGCGACCAAATTGGGTCCTTCCTGGAGGCCGTGGATGTAAATGCCGAGCCAGGCCAGCCGGGTCGCTCCATCAGAGGCGCGCGCTGGGGATTTTTTCTGTGGCTAGCCGAGTGAGCCGGTCCTTGTGTAAAAGGCTACAGATCCCTCGATCCGTGCTAGGCCTGCTGAGTGCTGCTAATTTTGGACGTGTTGGCATATGCGCTATCGACGTGGCGCTCCGTGTAAGAATTGGGGTCCAGAGACAACCATACACCGCGACAGCGTGCCACACTGCAAAGCCTGCACGACATACGCACTGGATGCCTTACCCCACTCTGTGGACAAGCCATGTCTCAACCGGCTGGGGGGTCCCACAGCTCGCGTTGATGTCACTATTAGGCAGGTAGGCTCAACAACTATGTATCTTACAATTTGGACTGGGGCATATGCGACAATTGGGGGGTGGAAGAATTGGAGGAGACAAGGGTATTCCTTCACTTGCGCCTGGTCAGCCAGGCCTGGCTCTCTTCGCGCCAGCATGCTCTTCGCACCGCGTGTTGTATACTTTCTTCTCGCGCCAGCTGACTTTTGTCGCGCACTGGCTGTTACACCCTGTCTAAGCACACAGCCTTCAGCGGTCTCTGGCACATGCAATGGACATGTAGCAAAAGTACGTGCCCCGCGCGCACGTGCCAGACGCATGTCGGGCCCCCGTCCTCCGCGCGCGTATTTTCACATGTGAAGAATCCGGCGCGGCCAGGTTGGGTCCCCTGGCTGGGGGCCATGAGCACGTGAAAATACGTGCCCCGCGCGCACGTGGCAGGCGCATGTTGGGTCCCCCCCTTCCGCGCACGTATTTTCACGTGTGAACGATCTGGAGGGCTAACTTGGGGCCCCTGCTGGGGGCCGTGGACAAATGAAAATACGTGCCCCGCGCGCACGCGCCAGGCGCATGTTGGGTCCCCCGCACGTACTTTCACGCGCGAACGATCTGGAAGGCTTAGTTGGGTCCTTCGCTGGGTCGTTGGTGGCCGTGGACACGTGAAATTACATGTTCCGGGCGCACGCGCCAGGCGTTTGTTGGGTACCTCCCTCTGCGCACGCATTTTCACGTGTGAAGAATCCGCCATCCCCAAATGGGCCTCTCCTTGGGGGAGTGGGCACGTGGAAATACGCGCCCTGCGCGCGCGGGCCGGGCGCATGTTGGGCCTCTCCCGCCCACAGGTTGGGGCCCACCGTGGGGGCCGTGGACAGGTAAAAACACCTGCCCCGCGCGCGCACGTGCCAGGCGCATGTTGCCGCCCGCCTCCGCTCGATTTGCACGCGGGAAGAATCCGACGCGCCCAAGTTGCGTCCCACTCTGGAGGCCTCTTCCGGTCGAAGCTAAGCGGGCCGCGCACAGCTTTCATTGACAGAGGAAAACAAAAGGAGGGGCCTCACGTCAAGGCCAAGAGAGGGCAAAGCCCCGGGATCAGGCGGTGCCGAAGGCGAAGGGCATGCGAAGGCACGCCTTGAACAGGAACCCGGAGGCGAAGTACCGGGAGGCAGAAAGCCGGTGGTGGTGCCGTCAGCGGCGCATCATGTAATCCAGCCCCATCGATTGCGGGAGAGGACGCGCCACGCATCCAGGGCGACGCCCGAGAGGACAAGGAGCGCCGCTGGGACGGGGTGCAACGTTGTGCCACCGAACAGGAAGCAGGAGAGGCCCAGGCCGTGGTAGTCTAAGGTGCCACGCACACGGAAAAAGAGCCGCAGTTTGAGGCGCGGCTGCCAGGCCAGGCTGATAACATGCCGCCCATGACTGCCAGGGTGCCGGTGTGCTGCAGGGAGGGCGTCTGCCCCGCAGTGGCAAGCGCGCGGGATTGGGCCGAAGCCGCACACGTTGCGCTGCCGTTCCGCGGGGCCCAGGGCCGGGCCGAAGCCGCGCGGCGCCCGGGGCCGCGGGGCCGCCGAGGCGGCAAGGTGCACGCGCCAGGCGCCGGGCCGAAGCCGCGCTGCGCAGGGCACTGCCGCCGTGGGAGGGGGGGTAGCGAGCGGGAGGGGGGAAGCGGGCAGGGGGGGGAAGGGCCCGCTCAGCGGGCCAGCCGCCGCCAGAGCAGCCCCGCGCCAGCAGCTGAGCGTGGCCCGCGTTGAGCAAGGAGGCCCTGCGGAATCAGGGGGGACAAGCGGTCACGTCGTCAGGGAAAGGAAGGGGAAGGGTGGAGGAGGGCAAGTCGCCGAAGGCGCTGACCAGGCCGAACTCGAAGAGGACGCCGCGATGCCTGGGCCAGGGGGGTGGCCCGGGCGAGGTGCAGGTGGCAGGGGGACCCTGCGGAATCAGGGGGGCAAGCGGCCCCATAATCAGGGAAAGGACGGGGAAGGGGGGAGGAGGGCAAGTCGCCGAAGGCGCTGACCAGGCCGAACTCGAAGAGGACGCCGCGGCGCCAGGGCCATGGAGGCGGCCCGGGCGAGGTGCAGGTGGCAAGGGGATCCTGCGGAATCAGGGGGGACTAACGGCCCCATATTCAAGTATAGAAAGAAGGGGGGGAAGAGGGGGGCAGGCTGCCGAAGGCGCCGACCAGGCCGCACTCGAGGAGAACGTCGTGGTGCCAGAGCCAAGTGGGGCGGTTCGGGCATGGTGCCCGGGGCCAAGAGGACCGTGCGGCGCTGCTGTGCGCTGGCGCTTGGGCGTTGCACCCCGCGTAGCGGGCTGCCCCCCGCGCCCGCCGTGGATGGCCGTGCCCAGGCGCCGCTGGATTCCTGCTGCAGGGCACTTGCAGCCCCAACCGACGTCGCAATAGGCGCGGGATCAGGAGGGACTAGCGGTCCCAAAATCTGGTGCGCAGGAGGAAGGGAGAGGTGGAAACCAGGGCATGGCGCTGTGGTCGGCGATGCGCTGGTTGTACCCGGAGTACAGCGCCACCAGGCCTGCAAGGAACAGGAGGGACGGTGGTTCGGCACCCTGGGCGCCGTCATTGGGGAGGTCCAGGGCAGGTCGGCGCCTGGGGCGCTTCCCGGTCCAGTTGTCGGTGCACCCGGAGCTGCGTGCTCGGCCCTCTCCGCGCCCTTCGCCTTTGGCTACCTCCAGCTTCCGCTGGACTCCTGGCGCAGCGTGTTTTCGGTCCACGTAGACGCCCGTGTTCCGGAACCACTTACCCACGTCGTAGCGGTGGTTGGCCATTTCGATCGATCACGTCGGGCTGCCAGCAGGTCGGGTCGAACTTGACTTGGTCCTTGGCCTTGCCCCGTTCCTGGCCCATGTGCCTGCGCCACGAGTGCCAGGCTGCGGTGAAGTAGTAACCTCCCTCGGCCTTCAGCCTCTTCAGGTGGGTGGCCGCCGTCTCGCCTGGGCGTCGCGGCCAGCTGGCACGGCGGTCTTCCCGGGGGCGGTTGTGATCAGGGCGGCGGCGTTCATCCTTGTGTTCGGGGTTGCGGCGATCGTCTTGTCGCTGCCAAGGGGCCCACCCTCCGCCCCCGTCGCGATCGCGGTCTCGGTCGCGCTCTCTGGCTCGGCCCCAGTCGCTGGCATCTCTGGACGAGCGCCTCGCCGCGCCGTCGGATCGGCCCCAGGGGCCCGGGTCACTCCCCCTGCCGCGCGCGCGACCGCATTCGCGCGAAGGGTGGGGGATGGGCGCGGTGCGTCCGGCCCCTGTGGCCGCAGTCCTGAGCCGCGCGTGCAGGGCGCGGTCGTCGGCGACGGCCATCGCAAGCTCGGTCTGTCCCATGGATGCGTGGGCCTGGCGGGCCTGGTCTGTCATGTCGGTGTCGCGCTCAGAACATCTCCCGTGGGGTCGCCCCAGTGTGGCCCTGTCCGTGTGTTCCAGGGTCTGGGGGGGGGGGTGAGACCGCGTGGACCGTGCCTGCGGCATCCACCAGCCTTTGAGCCTGTTCCTCCTCCTGGTCGTCGTGGGCGTAGTCGGGGATCTCCTCCTGCGACCGTGCGTGGCGTGCGGGGCTGGGGCCTGGATTTGGCTTGAGCCCCTCCTGCAGACGCCGCTGTGGCGTTTCCAGGGTCGGCGCCGAGCCAGGAGCTGGCAGGGGCCGCTGGCTCCTGCGGTGCTTGTGCCTTGTCGGGGGCCCCATCCAGGAAGGCGGCTACGCGGCGCGCCGCATTGCCGCGCAGGACGCCGGCGCGTAGCGTCTTGGCCCCGGCACCCCAGACTTCAAGCCACTCGCTGCCGATTTGGACGATCAGGGTTCGTCCGTCCCTCTCGCGGGTCTGGACATCGCGGATTGGTCCGAATACTGCTCCGTCCAGGGGCTGCGTGAACAGGGGCAGTGCTCTGCGCTGATCTGAACCACCTGGCTCGGGGGAGCGTGTCGTTCCTGATGGCCACGTAGTCGCCGCTCTCGACGTCTGGGCTGTCCGCTGCGATCGGGCGGGTGGGGCCCTGGAGGGGTCTGTCTGGGACTCGCCCTCGCCGCCGGTCGCGGCGGTCGCGATCCGCGTGCTCCAGGAGAGGATCAGGAGATGCGCTGGCAGCCGGTGGGGCCCCCGCAGACTTGGCAGCCGCGGGCCGCGTAGTGGCAGGAATCGAGGCCGGCTCGCTGCCGCGCGGCGTGGGCGGTAGT